GAATATTGGCAAAAGTCCAAAGTCACACATCCCTGTTGCTTGTGTATCATCTGTCAGTTAGCAGAACAGTCACCTATGCTTCCAAGCATCTGTTGGGTTTTGATATTAACTGCAACACTTCACAAATTGTGCAACATTTCTATGTAGTTTTACCATTTGATATACAGTCACTTGTCACAAGTGTTTATTTTCCCTTGGTCCCCTCTAAGCCAAGGTATCCTAAATGTATAGGGAGGACACTGATAACTGACAATCTTATCTAACTTTGACTGCAAAGAAGTGTATTTTACAAAGTGTATCCTTTTGGGAACGCTGGGTAAAGGATCTTTATTGCAGCTGGTACTCGGCTATACAATTTGTGATCCCCTGATTAAAAGAACCTAAAGCATTGTTTTCATTCTGTTAAGTTTGTATGCAGATTCAGCGCAATGTGTATATACACTGTCAGTTTAATTATATCTAAACATAATTTTTGTTGCCCTGCCTTGGGTCTGTAGAAAGAAGATATCATCACCAGATGCTTGTTCCATTTACTTAGAAAGTCAACTGCATTGTAAAGCAGCAAGATCAACACTCTCAGACCGCAGGCTGTTACTATACAAAACAAGCCTTTATATTGAGCATTATGTTTAATTGAAATGTTTGTCCTCACTGTAATACTCTGGTCCATTTTTGTGTCCTGTAGACCTGTACATGTGTAGACCACCTAACGATAGTATGTCATGTAGTTTGAACATAATCTCTTCACCGCTATTGTTCCGTCATCACAACAGATAAATCTGTCAGCAGAGCAGAAAAGGAACTAACAAGCAAGAAACTCTTGTCTGGTTTTGGCAGGAGACGGCCAGGACTGGGCAGGTCCCAGTTACCCGCTTTAATACCATTTGATAAGCTGCTATGAAAGAGCTGCCTTTTCTCATTTAGCCTAGAAGCTTTTAGGTAGGTGTGTTGATGGGAGGGTTAAGAGAGAGGTTAAGCCAAGCTCAGTGATTGAGACCTAATTGATTAGGCATGGAAACATGCAGTTAACATACAGAAAGGAAGTCCCAATGAGTTCTTTTACAAACACTGCTTTAACTCTTGAGACTGTCTTTGAGACGTTTCTCATTATGTTAAAGGCGCTGCATCTCTGGCGCGTTTAATGTTTTTGTGTCGAACTCTAAGCGATTGTTCAGCGCGTCTTCTGTCTGTGTGTGTGTCTAACACCGGAATCGAGCAGCAGTTAGCTCAGCAGCGGGCATGAATGACAGATGAAGAGCTTATCTGTAATTTGGTAAAGCGCTTCTCTCTCAATGTGTTCAGGCTTGTTGGCAACTTCCCATCTGTTGAACAAAAGCGCTGTGAAGTGGCTGGATTTTAGTGCTGTCACATCACTGAGGAGACTGTAACCTCATTAGGCGGAGGAGTGACCTGCAGTGTAACTCAGCCCTCTTTAGTTGTGTGAAGAAGGCCCTCCGTCAGCAGCTCCCCTCTGGTTCCCTTCCTCCTTGTCGACCCAGGCACAAACATGTCTTATAGTCGGTGCTCGCTCCTGCTTTCTTTGTACTTGTTGATGTATTAGACACTGTAGCAACAGCAGCCGACCTACTGACAATTACTCTATCATCGCTGGAGGGCAGGACCTGTCTATTTACATGTCTTCATATATTTAATGCACAGGACTGATATATGTTCCTTAAAGTTAGTTTGTCTCTTATATGAGATTGTTAGAGAAGTGAGGGAATTTAACTTACACAGCAGGAACCGGTACATTCAAACTGAGGTAAAAAAAAACACTCCTTTAGAGGATTTGTTCCTGCTGACTGGATGTGTTTATGTTTATTACACCATTGTGTGGAAACTTTATGCAGTTAAGTTTATTTCCTCACTGACTCCAGGAACAAGCAATTAAAGTTGATAAGTGTACACAATCCCAACGGACAATAATATACCCGATAAAGTAAATTAAGAAGAAAACAAGGTTGGATGAAAAAAAAAAGTTTCGATATTCACAGTAAGCTCTTTGATTGCACTACATAAATATGTTACTTTAAATTTCCTTTCTGAGACTGACGAAGAAGTTGAATTAACTTTTCTCTTCGCCGTCTCTTTAACTTTTGCATGAGATGCCCAAAGATATTCATTTTACTGTCACAGAGGAGTAAATAAACTGGATAATATTCAAATGTAAGAAGCTGGATTAAGATATTAAAAATACTTTCTTTTTTTTAATTGCTTAAAAAGGCTAATCCATTGTCGAAATAACTTTAGTTAAGAATTTAGAAGACAACTACATGATTAATCACTGCAGCTCTAAGTCAATGAGCTGTTTTATCAAGATTCCTATTGTCATTTTATAAGGCCTTTATTTTAAATGAAGAAAAATTTGGTTAGCATCGACTAACACAGAAGTCATTTATTTCACACGAGTACATTTTTAACGTGGGGAAAATGTGCTGTATCTTTCAAATTGTTTCTCCATTTGTCCGAAGGTTTACTATGAACAGCACTTGGCCTGATATATAATCTATGACTGTCAGCCAATTAATTAAGCCCGTTTTAAAGCCTGTGGTGTGAGAGCCTTCAACCCCATGTTTGTAGCAAATAATGTATTCAGTAATATTACCATATCCGCTGTTGCCCCCTCATTTGTATATTTGAAAACCGCGAGCGGCCAGTCATAAATAAAACGAGTAACAGAATGGAAAGAAACAGAATCTGAACAGGGCCAGAGCCAAAACGCCACTTTGAGATTAGACCATTTAGTCAAGCTCACCGAAATCAGGTTTCTTCACATCCAAAGTAACTGGAAGTGTGAGGCGAGCTCCTCTGCGAGTGTGTGTGGCTGGATGGTGCTAAAGGTCAAAGAAATCCTGTCTCTGAACAGGAATATGTGTCTCTTTAATCCCTTTAAATGCTGACACAACAGGTGAGGTAACATAAGTGCAGGTTTTTATTTTTTGGGTTTTTTTTAGTGGATAATTATGCAATAAGAAAAGGTGTGATTTACAATAAGCATTCAGTGGTTTTGTATATTCAGTGTTGTTAGAATGATTGTCTTCATTGTAAAACTCTCTAATTGCCCTGTTCTTAGATCGCCCGGAGTGGCATTTTCTCGGTTTCACTTAGTCTGTGGTCATCCGTTGAGACCACCCTGGTGCTAACTGGAGCCTGCAGAGCATTTGCCTTCCACTGAAACTCGACTGTTGAGGGGTGGAGTCAGGTTGTGCACTTTTGAGATTAAACAGGAATACTTTAGGGATCACTTTGTTTCAGATTTCAATCCCTCGCCCCTGTAGGAGAAAGAGAGGGCTCCCTGTCTGTTGAGAGCCATGTAATCCCCTGTCCAGCCGGCGGCTCGTTGTCCCCTGACTGTACCTCTGTTTCTCTCCGCCTCGACAGAACAATGCCGACCAAGTGGCCTTCCAAGTGGGCGGTGGCCTGTCTGCTCTGGAACAAATTTTGCAGGTCATCACTGCTGCTTCCACACCCACCGCAGTTCCTCGTATCCCTCTCAAGTGAGTACTGTCACCCAACTGACGTCTTACTGTATTCATGTGTATCACGTATATTAAAACATAAAAAATGCTTTTGCATTTTTACAGTTTTTTCCTAGCGCACCATTTAAAACAGAAAATCCACTGCTGTGCCCAACAGATACAGTAGTCATGGCTTGATCAAGTTTCTGTTTCAAGCCAGCAGGGTGAGCTGTCTCTTTAGCTTGTGTTTGGTACCATTTAATTTTGGAAACGCTGACCAGTCGAAGCTGTTGAGACCCGTGGGGCCACTCGTGTGATCTTTTTTGAGTAGGTGTAAGTCTAAATTTAGATTCATTGTTGGAACAGGTGTGCAGTGGTTTTCTGCAAAGTCTGAACCCCCTGTAAGGGTTAATTTATAAACCATAAATGATAAAAAAGCATCTCATAGGAAGTGCCTGTTCTCTTTCTGTTAACTTGCACCTAATTAACACAGTTTAATAAATATCTTTCTATCCTTTTGTTCACTCGTGATCTGAAAACGCAGGGCTCAAATGAATTAAAAAGGTAGACTTGTTGTATTTTACAGCTTTTTTTATGACTTTAAAAACAGCAAAGGATTTTTAAAAAAACAGATTAGGTCGTTTAGAAGTGACAGTGAACCTTAATCACTTGCAAAAGGACGGTTTTGCATTTCACTTTGGCTATGTACAAATACAGTGGAGGATTTTTTTGTGTGGTGATAAATGCTAACCAGATTTTTGAAAGAATATCAAATAGTATTGGCCTTTCTGACTGTGTTTGCGAAGCCTGAAAGAGAAGAAGTTTGTACGATCCATACTGTTTAATGAGGCCTCAACTGTTCCAGCCCTTCCTCCCGTTGACTTCTCTCTGTCTGTATCCTCTCACTGACCTCACTGACAACACTGCTCTATTTCCTCTTTGCGATTGTTTTTGCAATTGCATAGAGTAAGTGAGCTAATCTCGACTAACCTAATTTATCACTGTTTATAGTTGCTTCATCTCAATAAATACTCTCGAAATGTATTAATGAATAACAGCGCTGCCCTTCAAGAATTGGAAAGCATTTCCATTTCTGTAATCAATTTGTGTTCATTCTTTTCTCTTGAAACACAAAAAGCACATGTGTCCCATCTATCATTTAGAGTACGGAGTATTTTTGAGTTGTGGGTCTGGCGTTTTGCACGGCTTGCCAGTAGATAACCTCAGAGAGGCTGTTGTGCTCACAAGTGGGACTCTGTAATGGACTCGAATGGCCTTGCTCTCCCATTCATTAGCATTTACTGGTCTCTGAGTCTCTGCTAATGGACAAATGCTTCTTATATTTATAAGGCTTTTAAAGGACATTGCATGTATATTGATTTTTTTTTTTTTTTCTTGTGTAGTCTCTCTTTCTCAATCATTGTAATCGGAGTGAATTTCAAACAGACTTCTGAATTGCAGAAAATCTGATCTTAAATGGAGAGATCGTCTTCTTGCTCTAAGATCTGTTTTGCAGACTTTGCGTGGATATCTGTGCATGATGATATGTTAACTTAAGTACACAAAATACCCCCGTGGCTTTAAGACGTGTCCTTGACATGCTGTGGTGAAGAAACGGTAGGTGAAGATTAAGCCCATGTGTTTTTGTCCTCTGTTTACAATTTAGTCAAATTCTGGAATGGCTTGTAAATAATAATTATGAAATGATTTTAAATTAGCTGTTCCTTCCTAACTAAATCATTCCCATAACTGAACAGGATTCTCTGCAGTGAAGGCTGACATGACAACAAGATTAAGTTGTTTCATAGATAAACGGCAGCATGTACATGATCTAATATGTTGTTTTGGTTGTCTGATAGTATTTTAGCTCAGTACTTGTTCTGTGTTGCTAATACTGCTGGCCTCTTCAGAACATCATTTCCATAAAATCTGCATACGACAAGCTTGTTATGTGGCTTGTTGTATAGTTATTACAATAACTGTACATAAACCTAAAGCTGTTTAACAATCAGGGCACAGACTTGAACTTTCACATTTTTTTTTCCCGAATAAATCTCATTGAATCCTTTCCCGTTTTGTAATCCATGTAAAATGCAGAAGAGGTCAAACTTTGTTCTTGTGTCGGTCAGGTCAGTGTAGTCGGTAGCTCATGTCGAGATGCAACACAAGGACGCAGCCCGGCTGTCTGCTTATCACTATCTGTCATCTGGATTGCTGTGTGGCCTAATGGGCTGCTATATAGACGCTAGCCCCAGAGTGCGCTACATTATCTGTTTACAGTGATGCTGCCGTATTGATCACCTCCTCCCACCAGATAAGCAGAGTGATTTACAAAAAAAGGCAGCTGCCGAGGTGCTCCTGCCATATCTCTCCCCGGGGAGGCTGATTCCATCTTGTTACCATTACATTAATGAGCTAATTCCTCTACGACGCTCCGCTAATGTTCTGGTGTAACCCTGTGGTCGCTGGAGCGTCCAGATCGGGGTTTATGCAGCCACTGTCATTAACTTCAGCTGGACAGATGATATCGTACAAAAGGCACAATAGCATCCCAAACGTTGCCATGAAGAGCATTAATTATACAACACAGTAATGTTATTAGTTACTTTGATTTGCATTATGTTAATTATATTGCCTGGTATTCTAATTCATGGGCATTTAAATCATTTAATATCATGATCATATCTATATGTGTAACTCTTAATATTATTAAGTAAAGCTACAACTTAAGGCTGTGCCTTTCTCCGTTGATTATTTGATCCATAAAATATCATAAAAAGTGAAAAAATTCTCACAAGTTCCCAAATCCCCATTGTGGACCTTCAGTTTTATCTATTTATCAGCCTGAAACCAAATTGTTATTTACAATTTAATAGGTTAATTTCCACTTTAGTTATTTATTTTTATTTATTTATTAGGTCTAATACAATCAGCAAACATCTCCTTTTAAGACACTTGAGTCAGTTGTAGTATTCTGCTCAAGAGATTGCTTAAATAAGTAATGAATTTTAAATAGAGGGAAGCTTAATCTTATGACAGATTACTAATCAGTTAATCGATTAAGCGGTATTAGTAAGGATCTAAAATTTAACACGTTAAATTTTGCCCTTGTGCTTGCTGTTGTATGGTACCAGTGGTGCTCTTTGCCTAATAAGTTAGTAGGCGTTGCATAGAAGCTCTAAATGATCGTGGAACCCTATAGTAGTATGTTTCATCACTATTATTAGTTGAAACTGTTGTCCCACTTAGTCAGCTTCATAAGTAAAGAAAAAATAAATTATCGGCCAACACTTGCTTGTGTAGTCCTTTTACTTCCCTTCCATTGTGACAGCTGCAGATTATCAGTTTAACCCAAAACCAGTGTCAAAAGACTGACGACAAGAATCTTTTTATGCACTCTGATTCAGAGTTACACGGTGCTGCTATTTAGATTGCAGATGCCTTGTCCTTCTGTCTTCAATAGGGGTCACTGGAGAGAAGAGGGGAAGAAAGACTTGTGTTGTGTGCTCCTTGTAAATGCTCTCAGCACAAGGCTTCATCTGACCAAACAGCAAAAAGACCAAAAGCACTGGTCTATGAATTACAATAGCAAAAGTTTAAACTTTGATGATTTGGTCACACTTTATGTTGATAGTTTCCAGTGATTTTAAAAAGTAAGACAGAGCTGTGTTGGTAGCAGGTGAGCCACAGAGAAAGGTTTAGTCGTCCATGGACATGCGTGTTAACCCAATTTGTATTTCCACCTCTGTCTCACATGACCTGGTGTATCCTGTGAAATCAGACCTGCTACCTGTGGTTTTATTTCAGGATGTTTTCCACCATTTGTGAGACTGTGTGTATGCATTTGTGTGTGTGTGTGTGTGTGTGTGCACTCGTGTGCATGGTGCTGTGTGGCGGCTCATCAGATTTCTCCTCCTTCATACCTGGCCAGTGTGGCACGACAGCCAGAGTAGATGTCTTGGAAGCACTCAGGGTATCGGAGAGATCAACAGCAGAATCAAATTAAATGTCATTTAGATAGCAGTGAATGAAGGGATTGTTTGACAGCACAAGGAAATGGATTTGCTCCTCACCTTTTATTTTGGCTTAGGATTCTTTTTCTTCCCCTGTTTAAGAGGCAGGGGCTCAACCTGATCTGGAAGTTAGTCAGATTTCTACAGCGCTGCTCCCGTCAGGCTTGACTGCACACATAGGAAACGCACAGAAAGGGCGAGGAATGTGAGACTCAGGTTGAGGAGCGCAGATTTCATGGTTGATAACTCAAGGCAGTGACAAAAACGCATAAAGGGCCTTTTACATGCTTGTTGTCCTGTTGTCAAGTGAGCGGCGAGTTGGCCATTTACCTTAATAAATGGACTTGGGTGAAAGATAGACACAATCCATAACAGTGCTGGGCAAACAGTGTTTATGGTTGTTACTTCTGATTTATTCCAGAGAGCTGAACAGCCAGTGAAGTCTGGGGGGTATTTTGTGGACAAATTGTCTGCCTCAGGAGTCGATTCTTCTCACTATTTTTTCTACTCTTGCCTATAAGGCTGTACCTTAAAATGTAATATTTGAATATTATCACAAGCCTCCACCTTATAATGGGTAGGCCTGTTGGCTATCAGGGTCTCAGAGGGCTGCAGTGGCGCCATACAGGATCAGGTGTTTTCTATCCTTTCCCCTCTTGGCCTAATTTCTTTATGGATGTGAGCACCTTTACAAGTAAAATGGTATTCCCTGCTGTATAAGGTTAACCGTTTATGTATACGAGCAAATTACCTTTTTTTTTTTTTTGTATCGTCTCTTTATCACCATTAAATCCCTCTTCCAAGTCCTCCAACTTGTGACAGTAGTTCGCTGCTTGTACTAAAAGCACTCAGCGAGTTGAGAAAGATAGTGGTTATGTTAATTTTGGGATCCTGTTGAGCACAATCTCACCTCTGTAATGAGAAACCTATTGTGGTGTAGGTGGAGGAATGTGGCCTGCTGAGATAGACTGGCACACATCAGTCCCCACAAAGTTTTTTTTCTTTTCTTTTTTTCGTGCAACGTGAGAAAGAGCGATGTGGCACTTTACCAAATTGTTCCTCAAAATCTTTGACCAGAGCTGTCACTGAGGGGTATTTAGATAGTGAGATTCCCAGAGAGGTTGGACTATCAGGTGTCATGCTCATCAAGCTCAATTAGGTGGGAGGAAACCAAAGACAGATCACTGCGATGGTTCATTGTGCAAGCTGGTGTAAGGGCATAACTCAAACATGCCTCTGACAGCCTCCTCATTTGTTCAGAGATGACCAAAGACAAGCCTGATTAGCTGTGTTACAAAGCAATTGCATGCTCATTACATGAACAGCTGAGTGAATGGAGGGCCAGATCTGTCTTGCCAGAAGTTAAGTGATTTAATTAGAATATGCTAGTCAGGTCAGGGAGACAAAATGCAGCCATGTCTTGAATTCATTTTTTAAAGTGGATTGTTATAATCCTAAATCATACCCACAGTTGTGTAATGATATTGTTAAAGCTTTTTTTTTTGTAATAATAAACCTAACTATCTTCTTTAAGAGCTCAACTTCTACTGCACCGTCGTTGTACTGTATACGCATTATATTTAGGGGAATACCATACCATGCCTATCCCAGCGGATAGTGGGCGAGAGTCAGGGTACAACCCGGACGTGTCACCAGTCAATCACGGGACTGAAATTCCAAGTAACAGAAACAAAATAAGCCAAAGTATTTTGCAGCAGCCAGCGTGAACGCAGGCTATACCCAAGCTTAAATACAAGGGCAATACTGTCAAAAGTCATTGCACCATATACTAAACAGGGACAAACTGGATTTGAAAAGCTGAAAACTTTCCAACATGTCTCCATTGGGGACACAGTTGCCTAACATTATATACATATATATTTAAAAAAAGGTTGACGGCATAGCAAGTCATGGCAAAACTGCCAAATGGAAACTGCCTGGGTCCAAGGACAACAAATAAAAAGATATGACGGTGCAATAACTAAATCCCAATAACTTGACTCTTTTTTTTTTTTTTTTCATATGTAATGTTTTACATAGTTTCCTTAAGATTGTTGTTTTTGGGGCATTTCAACCTTTTCTTGGCAGGAGATTGAAAATATAGAGGATGTCCCTAACCTAAATCAAACAGGGTTTTTAATAAATCTATAAACTGATAATACGCCCTGTCCAAGTGCAACTTTTGTTCCAATGTGTCAACTTAACTGCATATTTCACACGATAATCCAATTTGTTTAACAATCATAAGAGTGGTTTCATGAACAACAGGATGAAGAATTTTCGTTCCCTCTCCAGTCCACTGATCTAAACCTTCTGTAAGTCTTCAGTTTGAAGTAAATTACCGCCTCGTTCATTCCTTCTTGAAGGAACAATTAAATATTGCATTACACTCAGCATAGGATAAACATTTGGCTGATGGAGAGCCCCAGCATCTCAGTGTAACTTTAATTTTCTTGACAAACATGAACTTTTTCCTCACTGAGTCGGCTCTTTTCCATGATTCTAGTCAGTCCTACATTGCCATTTAATCCCTGATAGGTGATGTGATAACCCCACTATTGTGCACTACTTTTCTCAACAGGGACATAATCTTAAATACTACAAGAGTGACTGAAGTAACTCCTGGCCTTTAGAGGAATGTACATGGCAGTTACGAACGTTTTCATAGGCTGGGTGAACCTTATAATTATACATTTGTAAAGCAGTATTTGAGGTTGTCAATTTGGTATTTGCATAGAAGCTGATCTGTTTCTCAAGTTCACTCAGGAATCAGCGTCTCTGAGAATCTGACGCTGCACGGCTGCACACAAAGCATAGTTTGGTTGGGTTCTCATGTTACCTCACCTCTTGCTCCACAAAAAAAAAGTCCCCTGTCAGTGTACTTTAAAGAACTTCTTTTATATTTTTTATGATTTTATAAAATTGTTGCCAATATAGCTGCCGTATATTGCTGTAACAATTTGTTAGAACGTTCTTAATGTGATCTTTTTTTAGGTGCTTTGTTATTGTTTCATGTAGTTCTTCTCACATTAACACCACATTCCATGTCTGACAGCTTTACGCTGCAATGTCAATAATGATACGGCAAAGCCACTGATCTGGCCGCTAGCAAATGCAAAGCAAAGAATAGAGGAAGTTATCGACAGACTTTGGTGAACCTCCACCTAATCTATTTTTCTTTGCCATGCCAACGTGGTTTGACCGAAAACGCGCAGCAGATGTGAAGGTTCGGTAGATATCAAAATGTTTACCAGTTGAAATAAACATGGCCTACTTTAGGCACTGGAGAGGCGGATTCCATTCTTCCAGCGAGCAGATAGGACACGCTATTCCTCCGATGGCTAAAATATACAGTTGTCAGAAAATATTAACTGATGAAACGGGGCGAGGGGGAGTAGCAGTCACAGCAGAATGATTGGTCAGTTATCAGAAGCATTAATCTTCACTGGGGCTTGTTTTAGAGTAGACATAATACAGAGGCACGCTGACTGGCTCAGCGCTGGCTGCTGCCTGGGGCTGCCTGGCGGCTGTGAGGAGCTGCTAAGAGAAATAGTTTTATCTCTTCAGCGGAAATGCTGCACCATCTCTGCCAAGATGGGACTGAGATTGCACTCAGCACCTCTGAAGGTGGATCTGGTGAGGGGAGTCTCCACATAAGTAGCTGATATGAGTGTTTTAGTCCTCAAATCGGCTTCCTTACTCGCACTGTCAGTGAGATATGCTTTTGACTGGTGAAGACAAACTGCACCCTTAAAGAACCACAAATAGAGAAAAGTGTGTTTGGTTTCCTGATGCCTGCGGATAGTCTTGTCAATGCCCAGGTCGCATTTACATCCCAGCAGTAATGTTTCTTTAATGAACTGCGAGGGGAGAAGCAGTGTGCCCCAAGGTTTGTTTTATTTTAAAAAGTTATGATTTATAATGTTTTATTTTTTTTTTTATCTTTCTCTGTTAGATCTCTCTGTGCTGCTGTAAATATCTACTACCTGGCATGTTCCTGCTGTGCCCTCAACTGCTCCTATGTGCTGTTTAGCAACAAGATAGTCCTCCTCATGGACCTGCTGCTGCATCAGCTAACAGTAAGTAAACACACAAGAACATCAGCCACAGAATGTTTCTTCGATGACGCAATGTAATATGATGGTTTGCGTGACTAGTGTCTGCCAATAACAATATTTTAATTTGTATAAAGTAGAGTAACTGTAAAGGAAATGCTCATTGTATTTGAATACGGGATATTGTAAGACAGCCACGCACAAATGTTTCATTTTTGTTACCAGTTCCTTGTTTTCTTTACATTTATCGATTGGCATGCACTGCTCTGACCACAGAGAAAGCCCTGCCTTTTTGCTGGTGTCTGTCACTGCCACAGTGTTAATGAAAGACAGAGCAAGACACAAACTAGCGAGTAACAAACCGTTGCCCAGCCTCTCCGCAGATGCCTCCCGACTGAGGGAATGTGAGAGCACAGTCAGTCAGGCAGGCAGGCTGCATTGCGGCGACATGTCAGCCCATATCCTTCAGCACTCTGTAAGAAGGACTGTAAACATCAGCTCACTCCAAACATCCAACGGTGGCGGCTCGCTGGGGCCTCCTACACTCACAACACAGACAGGACAAGGCACAGGCGCAGGGCTGTGGTGCATGCATGAACTCTACTGGGGCTTCCTTCTCCAGTCGAGTTCCAATCCAAAGCAGTCATATTTCCTTAGGGCACACAGGGAGAGGTTAGCCTGTATGCTCCAGTTTATATAAAACATATCCCAGCAGCTGCTCTGCTGACTGACATATCCAACAGCACCGCAAGAGATGAACTAACTTTTCTGCTTGTGTTTGCTGCAGATAAAGAATTGAGCCCAATAATTACTCATGCGCCTACTCAGCCCTCTACGATGAGCTGAGATTTAGTTTAGAATTTGTACGCGCATTTGCATTCGTCATTGTATTCGTACACATGCACGTATTCGTGTGCATGCCTGTGTTTTGGTATGCGTGTGTGTGAGCAATAGAGTAAAGCGGTGGGGGTTGCACTGCCATATGAGCATGCCCCCTTTTAATTAGATTTGTGGAGAATGTCGGTGGATTTACCTATGCTGTCAGCATTCACCCCAACCATTAGACCAAATGGGAACGTTTTATCTTTGCAAGGTTCCACATTAAACAGTGGCACTATATTTTACATGTGGACCTCTGCTTTCATGAAGTTTGTCCAGAAATGCAAATGAGAAGAATGCCTGTCTTACAACGATGCACTACACTATATGTCTGTCTACAGCCATTTTATTTGGACTTTCATCTTGTCAGGATGTAGCTGGTTTATAGTACATCTCTGTTTGTTTACACCAGCTTTGTGTGGCTGAGCAAATGCTGTAAACAGCTACTATATGCTTTTATTGTAGCCATTTCAATTCTTAAGAGTGCAGTCTACCAATTTGTTGCCTAAGACTGATGAGTTAAACTTGCTTAACTGCGTAATGTACCAACAATGCTGGAAAAACCTTCTTTTCTTTTCTTCATGTAACATTTGCCTCTGCATTAATTAAAGGGCCTTCAACGTTCATGCTAAAGGGTAAATCGACCTTCCTCTATTTATGCCTAGACACTGTTAATATCATGCCTAATAGCGTTTACATGCTGTCAGCATTCTGCTGTAGTTTCTCAGCATCAGGGTTTATTAACAGAGCAGATAACCTGCTGATGTGAGTAACAGTTTTATTAATTCTTCAGTATACAATCCTGTGTTCATTATGTGTTGTTGTTTTTTTTTTTTTCATTTAAACAGCTGTATGTTCCAGATGAGGACAAGTCCATTTTTGGACGCAGTGTGAACAAACAAGTCTTTGAAGGTTTGACAACAGGCCTGCTTCAAACCATTGCTACCATCCTGGGGTCCCTGTGGCCAAATATCTCTGAGTCTGGGCAAGGCGAAAACACATGGATTTCCTCCCCAGATACCAAGGTCAAGAGCTCTGCCACAGAGTCCTTCAACACTCGCACACAAGATCTAATCAGGTATTTTCCCTCCAATGCTCTGTGCTGCTCTCACACTGCTTCTCATCCTCCTACATGGCACCTCTTTTTTTTCATCTCACAACCTTTTTACCTCCTTTAGTGCATCCCTCCTCCACTCCTCTTCACTGGGTTGAGAGTTGGTCAACCTCTGATTTCCTCAACAACATGCCTTATGTAAAGAATAAGCTGACAAAATGTCAAATCATTTGGAAAAGATCCAAGTGGTGTCTTGTTAGAATGGGAGTAGTGTGAGAATGAGGTGTATTCTGGCATCGCTCCAGCACGTACTTTTTCCACACATTCAGTGCCACATTTTAAGTAACATCAGTTTCTAAAGGCGGGGTCACAAAGTAGCATAAACAAAGAGCACTTCCAAAGCTTTGAAAGGTCCCCTTGAACCTGGCGTTCAAGCCAGCCATGTGGGTCTGGGCTGTAGGAGTCGGGGATCTGATGGAGAAATGTGGACTGTGAGGAAAGGCAGGCCCGGCCGCATGAAGCCTTGCGGACTAGTGCAGGCTTTCCACCATCCCTCCCACAAGCCATGATTCATCTGGACAGAGCAGCTGCACAGGCCCACCAATCTCATCCACTGACCCAGTCGTAACCCTAGAGACAGAGGAGGGCCTGAGAAAAATTGTGTCGTCAGACGGATAATCCCGAGTACGAACACAAGATTTACCTCAACTGTCTTATAATGTATATGTGAGGAAGGACAAAAGATCAAAACATTTCTAGCGTTTGCAACACTCCCCCATTATGCCAACCTATATATCACACAGAGAGGAGATCACCATTTCCTTTCTGCTCATTACCAGTCTCTCAGTTTGCATTTTCAGTGCTTTTACTCCCCTATCAGTGTTGTGAATGTTTTCAGTCTATGCTCGTATTTTGAGCCACAAAGTAGACAGTTCGACCACCGAGCAGGTTGTCAAACAGAGGGCAAAGCTGGCAAAGCAGCCAGTGTGAGGAAAGATCCTTTCAACCCAAGTAAAGCTGTGCAAGAGGATCAAGACAAAACAATGGGACTTGGTTCAAGTGTCAGATGACCCGCAGTGCAGGTTGTAAACTGACATAATCACCTGTTTTGAGAAGACATCAGTGAGTGACAGTTCTAACAAAAAAGGCATGCGAGGGAAGTGAAAAGTCAAAGCAGTGATAAAATGAGGAACTGTGACTTCACAGTGACCACATCAGCGACTTGAAAGCCTTGATTGGCAGCTATAGTGCTCTCTAGATTTTCGTAAGCTGTTGGTGCCCGAAGGTCCCGGAATACCAGAGCTTTGAGAAGACTAGCCCCAGGTCAGCAGACTGTCGAGGGCCCAGAGCCGGGCTGGCACAGGGGCCACAACAGCCCTCTAATGACACTATTAGCAGTGATTTGTGGCTGAAAGAGTACAGGGAACATGATCATGAGACCTGTCATTGGCAAAGACAAATTGAAGATATCACAGTAATAGCAGGGGGTGGAGGGCTTAGGTGAGGTATTGGCTTTCAGCTGCAGTGCTGTGGAAGTACGCACAGTAAAGGCCTTTGTTTGCCTGTGTGAGATGAGCTTTTTACTAAGAAACTGTTTAACTTGTTCTAACGTTTAGGAACAAATGCTTATTTTTTTCTCTTCTTGTGTGTTTACTCTAGCTACGTGGTGAACATGGGCTTGATTGACAAGCTCTACGGGTGCTTCTTGTCGGTCCAAAGTCCTGTGGACGATCACCCCAAGATGTCTGCTTTCCTTCAGCAAGCCTCAGCTCTGCTGCACAGCATGTGTAAGCTGTGCTTCGTCGTAACCGGACGGTGAGCCTGTCTCTCACTCTGCTGCACACCTTAAACATCTCTGTGATCTCTTGATCTTCCTCTAACAAACACACACACCTCTCTCTTTGCAAGTAATGACAGAGACAGAGTTACGGTCAGTTCTTTAATGTCAGGAGGATCCATAAAGACGGGGCTCATGGTTACTCAAACAAAGACTGTGGTTCCTCTGCAATCAGCCAGCGGGTCATTTACTCCAGCCAGAAAGCTGGCTAAGCTGTCGTTACTACAGATAGAGATAGGCATCTACTTGACCCAGCGCTCTGTCACTCACCATAAACCTTAGCCTGCAGTGTGGGGGGAGCCCACCCACATGTGCTACGGTGACCTCCACTCAGAGAGGTTCAGTGGCGCCGCTGACAGAGGCTAAGCACACAGTCACACCAAGGGACATCAGCACCACAATTTCTGACTTCAAAGGAACCGAAATGCTGAGCATGGTAGCAGGGCCAGATATTATTTTATGCTATGTTATTATAAAATTTGAAACAGTATAACCTTCATGCATTTTCATTGCTACACTGAATCTAGGTGCCAGTCTCGTCACAACAAACCAACCGTTCTCGTTGTCGACCAGTGCGCCGCTGCACCTTGCCATCTGTAAAGTGCTACAGCACCAGTGAACTGTGGCTTTGCACCGTTATGGTAGACCACAGCTAGAACTGTTCATTGTAGAAGAGTTGTGAGGAAAAGAATAGTGATCAATGCAGCAGCCAGCGGGTTCTGTCCTATCAAAGCTCTCTGTGTGTCATTTATAAGAATGCTCAGTGGGCTAGTAGAATATTTGGGCCATGCCAGTTGCTGTGTCAGGGGATTATAATGGCATTAGGAGGCTGTGTTCTTGCCTAGCAGCATATTTCACGCAAAGCCTGTTGGCTAACATCAAGTATCAGCATGCAGTGAGGTTCCATCCAGAGGTCACACACCCTCCATTCTACATGGCTGCAAATCATAGCTGGTGCTGCTGCGGTAGTCTTAAATCGTCTGTCTCTTCTAGCCGAGGGCTTTCTCTGGAGTCCTCCGCGTTGCGGCTGAGAATCCTAAATAACATCATTGCAGTAATTACTTTCGTTTTCTCTTGTGTGTTTTTTATGGTAATACCATAATGTTTATTTTCTACGGTTGGGTTCTCCATTTAAACCTCTAGCTTCTGAAGTTCTTAGCATGAAAAAAATACTTTAAAAAATTTGAAACAAGGGAAAGGTTTGTTGGTTCTTTGACTTATCAAATAGAGCCTTTTATTCCTCTTTCCTACCCACATTATCTCTGGCTCTGCTGTTAAATGTAATGTACAGGGAAAGGATGATGTTGCCAATCCCTTTAACCAACAGGGTGGCATTTTGTTGGAGCCAAAAGACATATCACCTCGAATCCTCTCAGGCAGGCTTTGATTAAATGTACTGGAGCACTCAGCACCTTGTCAGGCAACTCAGTACGATCTACCAGCTTAAAATCACTGCCATGGGTTTCACGTCATGGCATTACTATGTTTACTGTAGGAGGAGTGAGAGCGGAAGAGTTGATCTTGACTCTTGAAGGTCCCAGTCTTTAGCTAATCCAGCTGGCAGTTAATTGTACTTGTTAAGTCAAAAAAAAGTGAAACCACTGCTTACATGCAAAGTGTGAAAAAGTGTTATTCCATGAATAAACCAGAAGCATACAGAAAATTAATGTAAAGGCGATCCAACATGTAAATATGCAGCACATGTCAAACTTGGTGCTCCTCCATTCACAGTTCAGTCAGGTAACACAGCAGCATTGAATGGGATAGTATCTTCTATCTAAAGGAAAGTCATCTCTAAGCTTTTGTCTGGTGAGTAAACCGAGAAGCCACCGAGGTCTAGACTGCTTTTGTGTCCTCAGTCTCTCAGTGTTGCAGTGAATGAACAGTCAATATGACACCAGCAGCAGCAGAAAGGCTCGAAATAATCCAAACATCTGCAAATACACTAAAATGCTAAGTGATGTTTTCTAGTTCAGTATCTGTGTCTAGTTGTTAATGAACTCCTCCAGTTATTTGCTGAACATACGTTTGCTTTCTCATCTTCTTTAGTGCTCCCAGCATATTTGACAATAAACGCCAGGACCCGACTGGATTGACGGCCCTGCTGCAGTCCACAGACCTGGTTGGAGTGGTGCACACTCTGTATTGTATCCTGCTGCACAGTTTCTTGCCGGAGTCTGCTTCCCAGAGTCAGGAACCTTACGGCCCAGGGGTCATCCAGGTGGCTTTACAAGGCATCCGCTTCCTCAACAGTTTTGCCCTTCTTGACCTATCCGCCTTCCAGGTAATAATAATGCGGCAAAAGATTCTATTCTGTTTTCGCAAATGTTGGAAATAGGAATAGCTGGTGCCTTAGTGTAAACTGCTATCATTAACAGGAAGTAACAGGAAGACAATTTTAAATTCTTATTGCAAACAGCAGGCTTTCATAAAATTGACCACAAATATTTAATTACCTTCCCTGGATTTAATAAATCTGTATACATGATTGGATGAATGTTAGTTCCTTTGTTAAGAGCCATTAGAGGAGGAGTTGCTCCCTTCAGGACAAAGATGACCTGTGGACATAAACACAGGTGCCCTTTGACCCCGGGTCATTTTTTGGGGTTGTATAGAGTCTGGTGGGTCAGCAGTTAGAATGGAACACGAGTGATTATCACTGTATGCAGGGCCATACATTACCCAGCCCGAGGAGGAGAGGGCGACAGCTTCACTGTGCTAAGTCACCGCATAGACTGAAAGCCACAAGAGCAAGCGAGAATGCTGTTAATTATTTTAATGCCTCTGGGTAATTACTTTGAAGCAGCTTCCTCTCACTGACCCGCCACATTCAGGCAACTCAAAACAGCTGGATATGAAAGCATTTCACTGCCGGAGTTTTATGAACATTTTAAATAATGTTTCTTTTTTTGGCCAGGAGTTGTAATCACCTTGTGTTTCGCATTACCTCACGGCAACAGCTAATATGTATTTGCCAGTGGATGGTTGATCAAAATTCAAGTCGTTAACTTGCCCTGCTGCCGCATCAGCTCCCAATAATGTGTTTAGAAGGGAATTTCAAAAGGGTCCAGCGCGGTATAAATTACTAGGCGCTTTGCAGTGGTTGCATTTTGGCAGAATATGCTGCGACAAATCAGCCATCCTTGAAAATCAATGTTAAGAAAATAAAAGTTCACATTGAAACCAGAACTGCCCTTTTCCCTCTTTGCTTAGCAGTTTTCCTGTTTGCCTTTTCAAACTGTGAGTCGATTTTTTTTTCTGATTTATTTATTTTTTTTCTTTTTCAGTTGTTGTGTGACATTTTGCTGTTTTTCTCCTTTTTATATGGTTCACTGAGATTAAGTTCAGAGTCCTGAAAGCAGCATTTAGCTTTTCAGGTATTGTGTTTATGGATGTTAAAACGCTAACGCACCCAAACTTCCACTGCAAATTGTAATGATCTTATGGTGCTCTGTCACGCTGACATGTTTAATAAATACTGTCTGTGAGTTGCTCCTAGCATCTCATTTCTGAGTGGGATTGGGGTGTTTAACGGCTGGACCCCCTTTGATTTCCTACGCACTTACACCATGTACATTCCCGCCAGCAACACGTATAACTTTTTATTGCTTTGCATTGTTACTGTGTTGCGCTCTTTGTTATCACAATTAGGTTTATTTATGCTTATTACCCACACTAACATGGCTTGTCTGTGACCTGTCAGTCCGTTCTAGGAGCCGAGGGCCTGTCTCTGGCTTTCCGACACATTGTCAGCTCCCTGCTCTGGTACTGTACCCAGCATTCCTCCGAAGAGCTGCTGCACGAAGTCATCATCTGTGTGGGATACTTTACTGTTAACCACCCTGACAACCAGGTAAACCTACACTTACCTCAAAATTGATTATATTGCATTTTAGTCTTAACAAAACTAATCTACTCTAAATCAATACATTTTTGGTTGCCCTGAAGAATGTTTGTAAATAATGTTTTTAAACATTTTTGAACATTTTTTAAATTCTATAAATTTTGGAAAGCACCTGTGACAAGAAAATGTAGGAAAATTAGTGGTTAATTTACATTTTTTATTAAGAAATCTGTTGTTGATTTTCTAAATTAGTTTTGTCAGTAAAATGTCAGAAACCAAGATTTTCATCGCCAGATTGCTTGCTGCATCCATTCAACTGCCCTAACACCGGCGTCTATTATATGTTGGTAAACTGAATGTTTTCTTCGTAAAATGAGCAGCTGGAGTCAGAGAATATTGAGCCCTTTTTCTTGGAAAACGATTTTTGCAGCTAGTTGATTCCTAAAATTCGAATAGATTTTCTGTCATCTGTCTGCTCAGTGTTTAATTACATTTAATGCTCTTGATTCTGTAAAGCTGTCTATAGAGTTAGAAGAGCCCGGTTAATATCATCTTATTGTTCTTCTCATGCATTATTTGTCAGAAAAAGGGTGTAGTTTTGTAATCGTAACAAAAAGCACCTGTTAAAAGATTCATGCCTTGGCACCTTCCTGCTTTTGGTCTGTGTGTCGTCTATTGTCCCACAGAGTGAGCCATTGTTCCCTCCTGGTAAAGCAGCGCGGTGTGCTGGCCCCGGTGTTACAACTACTTAGGGGGCTCTGTGGAAGTGAGCAGGATGTGATGGAGCAGACCTGGCTGCTGTGTAATTGGCTGTCATGCATGGCCCGTCTACCGGGCCCCTGATTAGCCATGCTACAGTTGGCTGGGCTTTGATTAAGCTAAGCCTGACCCACATGGGCAGCAGCCACAGCTTCAGCCTCCGATATGTCATTTATGCCCACACAGTTGCAGTCAACCCCCATCACAACAGTTTATAGGCTGATTACTGATTCTAATTTGCCAAATTTTTTATTTCTACTTTTAACGTTCCTCCTCCTGTCTATGCCACTTTAGCCATCCGCGCTGCTACTATCCAATCTAATTATTCTGATGTACAGAATTAGCATTTGTTGGTCATTGGAGATCCGATTTGCATATTATATTGAATAATTGAATAAGGACTGATGATTAAATTAAGCTTGTGACAGACTATTCATCTTAGTACACCCGCAGTGATGTTAACAGGGCAGCCATGCTCTGTGTTTTTCAAAAATAACATTTGTATGTTGTTAATTTTATGCAAAATCTGTCATTCCTTCACCTTGTAGGTTTTACCAATAAGAACATTTTGAGAGAAAGCCAAAAAGAAACCCATCTTACCTGGCTTTTGGGTATTTAGAAGAAAAAAAAAACATATTTGAGTATAGTTTGTGAGGAAATAAGATCCCACACAACCTTCACACAGAGTTGATCTTTGCCAGTGGTCCAGTTCCTGGAATGCGTCCATTCACTTCTGCACCAAGATGGATGGCGTTAAGGAGAATATTTAGAGCAGCTTGAGCTTTTCTCAAGCTAATGTAAGCATTGGCAGAACACAAAAGCGGCCCGATCCGGGGCCTGTGCGGTCGCATAGACTGCTGATTCACTGTCAGCACACCAGCTTTTGTTTATATATATGCTCTAGAAATAAAGCTGCTCATAAAAAGCAGAACTTTGAAGCAGCACTATACATAGTGATGTATTCCCTCTGCTCTAGGGGGGCATGAATAATTCACCTTGTCACACAAAAAGCCATTGGGAGAGTGACATATGTAGGCTTGTGTGTGTGTTTTTAGAAGTACGTCTCTGCTTATGGTGGGGGGCCACTGAGCCATGTAGCCATATGTTTCATTGTCTGTTGGGTGCATCCACAGAGGCCTTTTGACAAAACATCAAGGAACAAATGCAACCTATTTCGAAACTGACATGTAACTGTCCTTGTGTTTTCACTGAAGAGATACGTACCGGTAATCTCCTTGTCTTTAAATCCAGTGATTCATTTGTGATTCATCCACGGTGATGATCTGTTGAATCTCTGAGCTGACGGGACTGTAATTGTAAACTGGTGACATGTTAACCCACCTGATTCCTGCTTGCTATTTAGAAAGACGCGAGTAATTTCAGAGTGTGGAAATCTTAAGATAACTTCGGGGTGTTTTCAGTACATGGAAAACGGCCACACACACGCAAGCAGAGCGAGCCACACGTGAATGCAGTTATGTCCATAACACAAACACACACACACACACACAAGCTGGGTTAATTTCAGGTAGCGTGTGGGTGTTTTATAAATGTAATGGGATAGTTCTTCTTGTACCGGCTCCTGAAATTACCTGACTCCTCTGTGCTTGTATTTCGTAAGCTGTTTTCTTTATAGCGGTAACCATCACATGAGCTATGGATCGCCACTCGGCCCGAACATCCCACACACATCCCCAGAGCTCAGCCTTATCTGTGGGGTCAGTCCTCTTCTTCCCATTCTCTTTGAGGGCGTTTCCTCTGCCCTGCAGGCCCAAGCCAAGCTTTAGGCCTGTAATTCCTGTTAACCTGATGTTGAAACTCTTCCTTCAGCAGTCCATTACTGCCAAGACAACCAAGCCCTCACTGCCTGCGGGGTAAGTGCAGCTCGTGCAGACCATTGGGAGCCAGCAGTGAGGAATACACACTCTGTATCACCCAGCAGAGTAAACAGAGGCAGAGAAACACAGACACTCACACACACACACACACACTACGCTAACTGGCAGGAGAGTGCCTGATTGTTAGCTCGGTAGATGATTTACACTCTGCTTCAAGGGTGAACGCAGGTCCAACTGACTTTAAGTGAAGCTGAGGACATTTTTATCCTTGCAAACCTTTCAGTAAAGAGTTCCCATTTGTCTGTAACGCTGTCGTCAGGTTAGTTTCAGAGCAGAATTATCAGCAGTTGGATCTGGGACGGAATGACAGCGTCAGCTCATAGAGATAAATAAAGAGTTATTGGGCTTTTTTTGTGTAAACAGCACATCTCAGAGGATTTGAAAGCAGCTGACCGTTGCCTTAAACGTCAAGTTGGAGCGTCTCTGTCAATGTCTGCATCACTGCCATCCAATTGTCTGAAGGCAGTTTACACAGCGTCCCGCGCGCGTCTCAATAAGCCATTGTAAATGTTGTAAATAAGCACTAAACAGTTATTTGACTGTGGCTTTGTGCTGTCTGCTGGGCTGCGTGTCTTATCAGTAAAGGAGTTCCACTGGATCTGGTTTATATTGTGGATTCAAGTGTCAGATATATGGCCTTACTTTGGCTCTGGTTCCTCCTGAGGTGTTTTGTGCTGTCTAGACACAAAGATGAATGGAAATACCTCCACTCATGAAAGACCGGGACAGTACAAATTCAGAATTACATTTGTGCAGAAAGAAATGAATAAATAAGTCCATGCTGCAGCCTCATGCGTTCAAGCTGGTAATGTTATTTGAGACTCAGGCTTTATTGTGGGACTGAATGATGACTGTCTTTTTTTTTTTTTTTTTTTCCCCTCGTCTCTTCTTTAACTTTGGGTTCTGCCTCAACAGTGGGTTTTCCCAGGCATTTGTTTGTTTCAGAACATTAACTTTACACACTCTTTGTTGTCATTGTGAGGAAGTTATGTAATGAAAGCGTCATAAAACCGTTTGAAAATGCCAGGTCTCTGAACTTAAGAAAGAGCAGAGCAGCCAAGACACTTGAGTTTTTACAGGGTCTGCATTACATGCGGACCAGATGCATGGATTCAGACGCATGTTGTTAGTTTTATGATGTCAGTCTTTGAGCTGCAGATACTTCAACTGGGCTGGGAGAAGAAACACTGCGGCATAATCTGTAGTTGGAAGCCATTTCGGACTCTGGTGTTGCTCTTCACCTGGTGGAGGCGTGGAAAGTTGGCCGGCGACTCCGTTTCTACATCCAGGCTCTTGCTGCCACCAGGCTTTGTTTTATGTCTTTGTGCGTCAGGCACTTGAGGGTGGACAATTTGTTTAGGCAGCTGAAGATGGAATTGTGCGTAGCGGAGGATTATGAGATCGCTGGGTGATTTGTGGGTTGGATCTCCTCAGAGCTCCAAGTCAAACACGCAGTGCTCGCCGTGGTGTTAAATTATGACACCCCAACATAAATGCTCCGGATTAAAACACAAGAATGACGAGATTCCTCAACTTTTGCAGAATCGTAGTTTTGGCTTTTTTGCTGAATGCAGAAGCTGCATAAAATTTATGTGCCCCGTTTGCCAGTTTGTCTTTGGGCAGCGTAGCAACAGGCGAGATAACGGATGGTGATGTATGATTTAGTGGAAAAAGTAGCACGAAAACGCTCAAACTACATGCTGTGAAAATAAGCAGCTCTACATTTGAAAACAACCAGAGCCTGACTTTTTTTTCCCTTCCTGCAGCGGATAGATTTTTCCCAAATTCCTTTTGTTAAAAAAAAGAAAAAAAAAGAAACAACAATAAAAATACTGAGTGAAGGAAAATGATTTTGTTCTGTTGCAGTTTTTACATTTGTATGATATTAAAGACCTTTTTTTCCGGTGAGCACTTCACTGTGACACACACCAGGGCAGAGGCGATTCATACTTTGTCATAGCTTCAAAAATGAACACTTAGATTTCACGTTGACAAATTCCGAGCTCTTCACATTCTCAAGTGTTCGTAATGCGTTAAAGGTCAGACTGTTTGACCCGTCCATGTGGGTTCTTCAAACAAACAATAATAGGTAATGACACTGTTCTGTGTCCCTTTGAACTGCGCTGTAGAGGACAGCTCTGAGAAGCTTCGCCTTGAACTGATAAAAGCGGTGAATTATCGCTTTGTTTATCCTGCTGCTCAAACTGGGAATGCATTATCAAAGGAGAAACCAATGGAAGAGTATTAGAGACTGTATTTTTTTTAAATCTTGTAAATCCTGTGAATTTATGTCACTGTGACTTGGGGACCTCACCTTGCCCTTCTGGTTTCCATTGGTGTTGAACCCTCCTCACCAGTCTGGACCTTTTTGAAGCAGTGCAGCCTTTTTTTTTTCTTTTCTTTTTTTTCAGCCAGGATTTAACATGTTGACCTTGCGGATCTCAGACGGGTGCTGATGGTCCTCTCAAGCTCAGGGGAGATGACCAGAGCATTAGGCTGGAAACCCCTTCCTTCGCAGCAGCCCCCTTTTTCTAATCAAATGAGGCTGGGAGTGATTTGGTTTTAATACTGGTGGCCCGGATGTGATGGTGTGTGATTGACGGGCTGTGATGGAGAGCAGGATGTCGGCGGGGTGAAAATACCGCTAATGGTATTGCTCATTTCTTAAAGTGGGGGTGGCCACACTGTTGGTAGAGGCTTTGCTCACCCGCCGCCCCACCCCTCCGTACCCTCCGTTGCACTGTGGATGCCCTCTCAACCTGAGCTTCACTCCCGCACTGACTCCACGCCGGAGTGTTGCTTAAGAAGCTTAACGCAAAAAAAAAAACAACTTGAAAGTGAAGTTTCGACCACTAACGATGACATCATTTCACATGTGTCATTTTCCCCTCTTGTGTTACAGCAGCTTCTGCTATTGCCGTTTTTGCAACAAAACATCCCATCATTGTGGTTTATGGCCTGTAATTGTGCGGTGGGAGGCTGTGCCCCCCAGGTCTCCTCCTAATGGCTGTTTGTGTGTTGTTTTAGTGGCAGATTTACATGTGGGAGGGACACAGGGGGCAGTGATTTACAAGCAGCAGTGCCACTGACTGGCTTAGTGACTGACTGGCCTCCGCTCCTTGTGTGTTCCAGGTGATAGTGCAGTCTGGCCGCCAGCCCAGCGTGTTGCAGAAACTGTGTCAGCTGCCCTTCCAGTACTTCAGCCACCCACGCCTCATCAGAGTGCTCTTTCCCTCCCTCATCTCCGCCTGCTACAACAACTCTCAGAACAAGGTCATCCTGCAGCAGGAGATGAGCTGCGTGCTGCTGGCCACGTTCATTCAGGTAAACATGAAAACATGCACGCACTCTGCACTACGACACACTTGCAACAGATTGTTATGTCGAGTGTTGTAGCCCACTGTGATTAAAAGAGGTGTCTCAAGCTCAATGTGGAAAATGCATTCAGAAAAATTCTATTCAAAAAGACACAAATAAGAAAAACTATCCTGAAGAGTTTCATGCCCCTGAATAGAAAACCCAAGCTCAGTTCATTTCTTTCACATCAGAAGGAAACCTCTGTGCATCAGCTGATTGACGACTGCTCATCAGCCCACCACCCCCCCCGGTGAATCTCCAAGAGGCAGGCTTTTACAAAGATAAATGGTTTCCTTCACAGTGGATTTACCTGCCACTGGTTCAACTCCCAGTAAACAGCTCGCCTCCTTCATCTTCCTCCTGACAACAAGGCCCTCGCCACTCTGCAGCCACCACTGTTTAGACACAGATTAACTCCCATTCAAAAGCGAGACAAGCTATTGTCATTTCTTTCAAACAAAGCAGTAATGCATGGTATCTCGCCCCCGCCGCCCTCGTGTTTGACTTAACCTCAGGAACATTCCTCCGAGTGGGACAATTTAATCCAGGATGGTTCAGTTTGCTCAGTAAATTCTCGGTGAGATGGAACCTTTGTGGCAGCTTTAAAAATTTTTGCTGAAAACATTATGTTTTCTTTCCTGGAAACTTGTTTTATTTAATTAGCGTAAGATGAGCCCAATGAAATTTTATACAAATAATACTAGTGTTACATAGACCTGCAGCGTTCTGTTTAACGGCACTAACATTTGTTTTTTTCCCAGGACTGTGCCGCAAACGAGAAGGAATCAGACACGAAAACAAGTAAAATGGGTGAGTTGTTCTGAAAATGAATAACAAAATAATAAACTGTAAATGTAATATTTTGAATTCTATAGACATATTTTACTTTGTTTGAAAAGGTTGTCTTTAATTCCCACAGTCTATTTCAACACTAGGTTTTATTATGTTTTAATCACAACGTTTTATCTTCATGAAGAATTCTGGCTCACGCTTGCTTTGGTGAAATTTTACACTCAGTTTTAAAAGGATTAAGGCTTTCTGTCAGACACCCAGTGTAATATAGGTGTTCTCTTCTGCCTGTACAGTTTCCCAGCCACTGGATTACTGTGAACTGTCCAACCGCTTTCCAAGAGATCAGTGGGATTCAGCGCTGCAGTTTTTTCTTAAGAAGCAGGAGGAGTGATGGAGCTGGAAGAGCACAGTGCAAACCATTACACAAGACACTAACATGTGGAGGTGTTTTTTCTGTTTGTTTGTTTGTGACTTCAAGTCTGAATAAGTATCACGTTCTTCAGACTTTGTCAAATGTTTAAAAAAAAAAAAATTGTGAAGCCTTATCATATGTTGGTTCATCTGTTTTGATTTCTTGGAAATCAGATTGACGGTTAAAGAGGAATTTTTGCACAAAATGTCTTATTTGTACCTTGCAGTTAGAACACACGCACAACTCCATGTAACGTCTAAATACGCCATTTGTTTCTCTTTGTTCCTGTTGTAGATAGAAATGGCGACATTTTCCAAACAGTGACTGTCTGAACCTGAAGCATTTACTTATACTGTAATTTATGTTTTGCCAAACCTTTCCATCGATACTGTTTGTGTTCATTTATTGTTTTTTTTGGATGTTTTTTTTTTTTGAATGTGAATGGCCAGAATGTTCTCCCTGTTCTACACGATGCCAGTTCCAAGTGAAATGACCTGCCTTGATTGCAAATATGTGTTAAGATTTATATTTTTCAAGTTCACGTCGTTTTCTTTCCATTCTCTCTTTGTTAGAAGGCACCTGCAAATTAATATAATTTATTGAGTTATTTACCTTCATAATTTAAAATAAAAATACTTCTGGTTACATATTATTGTTCCTCACTTTTATTCTCTGCAGAAGATGCTAACATCCAACACTTGTACTGTTTGTGGTAACACTGACTTGCATAATGAGGATATATTTACGTGGTTTATGGATTATGAGACACTTGCAATTTGTAGAAAACTGATTCAATTGTTAAATTTTCAAGCAACATTGATTACAAATGAACTGGTGGGAATTTGCAGCCTTTAGGGGAAAACATGTTTTACACTATACATATATATTTAACAGTAATTTTGAATCGCCTTTTGGGTACCAGCTGTGTGTTTTGCTGCATAAATGAAACTATAAAAGAAAATTGGGCAGAAAAAATTTTAAAATCAGAGTGAAACTGTTGTAACTCTCTTTCAGTTTTTTCCAATTTCAGATTGAAAGCAGTGTTAAAAATTTGGGAGCTATTTAATGTTTATGGGGCCAAGTCCGACCAACAAAACAAAAAAATTTAATTCTGACAGTGTGTATTTAATTTAAAGCCTTGTAGTAAGATCATCGTTGTACAACCCTGTCTCATGTTTTTTTTCTAATTAACTTTCTCCTCTTAATTTTTCTGTTTAATCTTCCTGCTCACAGTTTATTTCTCTGAAGCTCTTCAACAGCATTTTTAATTTCAGTCTGACTCCACTCCTTCCTTCACTGATAAAAGCCGATCCTCCCCAACAAATTGTTGAGGTGTAGTGTGTCAGTCCCGGCTTGACCTGCCTGCTCCCTTGTCCAGCGGCTATTTGTCGCTCAGGATTCCTACTGGAATGAAAATAAACTCAAGACACGCCGAGATGCGTCCTCGGGCTGGGAGTCCCCTCTGCGCTGCGTTTTGTTGTGGATCCATTCAGCGTATCCTTTGCAGGTGATGCCAGATGGAGATAAGGAGCCGCCGCTGACTCTGTCTAGACTTGCAGCCCAAACTGTGGGCCTCAGGTGTGTGTGACACTGTGACATTTGACTTTTAAAAAAAATACAAATTTTATCGTTGTATCAATGTGGGCAAAACATTACGCACAAATCTGCTTTGAATATAGTGTGGAGGGAGGGGGATAATAAATATATTTTTAAAAACTAGCAAGGAACCGAATCGTGCAGGCCTCAACCTATTGTGTGTGATTCACTGACCCATGACACACAGGCCAAATGATTCATTATATCTTGTGATCCATCAGTCATTGATCCTCTTGGCACAGAAACTAAACACAAACAGGTTTTCTAAACTCATCCAAGCTGCTCAGTTGACCAGTTTTTTTGGGTGTCAAAGTTGCACACCCAAGAAAACTGGTCAACTGAACATTTTCCAAATCAGGTGTCTGCTAAAAGTATTTTACTTTAAAAAATAAAAACTGGGAAGCTCTTCCAGCTCCACTTCAAACAGCATCATAAGCAGCAGATTCGTTTCCATTCCCCGTAAAACTGATTTATTTCGCCGACTATAATTAAAATTCCTCTGCACGTTTATGGAACAAATGGATTTTTGCATGCAATAATCAATTGTTTTATTGATAAGATCAGCTACGTCTGTCCTCATAATAAATAATAATAACTTATTTTTTCTTGGAGAAAACGCCAACAATGCGCCTCTCTCTCTTTCTCTCTCTCTCTCTCTTTCTCACATCTGTTTCAATAATTTACAAGAGTGAAACTTACAAATCATGCACATCTACACAGCTTGTATTTTCCTGACAACACATACTGTAAGCATTCAGACCTCCGGAACAGGCTCCCACCACATATTCCCATTTGTTTGTCCAGTTCAGGTGTTGGCATCGTGGTAGAAAAGGCAAGTTTGTCCCAAAAGCTGGAAGCCCGAAGTGTCCACCGTGTCTCCCTGCCGAAGTGTCATTGAGCAGGACAGTGAGATAAAAACGCCTGGATGTAACAGTCACACCTCCGATCCTCCAGTCGGAACCCGAGTGTATCCTCCAGCATAATCCATCCTGCGTGGTCCCTGGTTCGTTTTCTTTTTTTTTTTTTTTTAGTTCTTTTTTCTTTTTCTTTTCTTGATTGAATGTCGCTGGGCTCTTTTGCGCGTATTTTTGCGCATTCCTGTGTGGCTGAGAGCTCCGAGGGGGAGGTGGTGGGGGGGGCCTCCAGCTGACCCCGATGCCTCCTCACGTGTCGACGGGACTCGGCACCATACTGTTCGGTGTGTCCGGTAACTGCGAGGACAGAGAGGTCACATCACTACCCGAGGAGTTTCCCAAAGAGCCCGATTCAGAGAAAGACACCTGCCGGAGAGAAACGACGAGAAGGTGGATCAGCTGGGATGCAAAATGTTTGCTGCTTTACGCACCACTTCTGAACCGTGTTTGGTCCCAAACGTCTGATTCAAAGAGATTTCAACAGAGTGTGAGGCTCCAAATGGATGTAGAAGTATTATTTTTTCATTTCTTAGTTTTTCTTTTATGTATGAGGCCTCTTTATTAAAAAACACGTGGAAATGTATCACTCCATCAGCCTCTGGAGACCCCATCACATCCCTGATGTGAGCAGTATATCAAATGACTCCACGTGGGGCCCCACTGAATGAGTTTGGCACAAAAGCAACTTCTTTTCTCTTTTCTTTTTTGCACTGAAGACTATAATTTTGTAATTATTCCATCACCTTTTTAACGAAATGAAGGCTGCCACCACCTTCAGCTTGATTAGATCATCAGCTTAACCAGAATTATTCCTTATTATGAAACCATTTTAACATTTATTTTATAGTTTTTTTTTCTCTGTACGAATACAGGCCTGGTTTTGCTTTTCTGTTATTTTAGTAGTTTAGAATGTATTTATAATTTAATCCTACCAGTTGCTGGAAGGCAGGCTGGTCCAGGTCGGTCTGCAGGGCGAAGTCGCTGAGGGTTTTCCACGGAGGCTGGTAGGTTTGCACCTCCACAGGATTCCCCTGCACGGTGTTGTCGTGCCGGATGGGACTGCCTGCCACCAGAGGTGTTCCTGTGAGGCCCTGCAGATTCTACAGGCGGGATAAAAAACACTCAGTTCGTTCAGATGTTGGCTAAGGAAAGGATAAAGTTACACCAGGATGGAAGATATTATGCTTTTAAGCCACATGAGATCAATAAAAACAGGCTATTTTTCATCATTGTGAGAAAAGCAGCAGACAACAAAGTGAAATTGCAGAAAAATATTGAATTTTATGATCAATGCCTAACATGTAATGTGCAAAAATGCGCAATAAACCTTTATAGGAGGCTTTGCTGTAACTGGATGAAGAGGATTCATTTCCATTTTTGCGCCACCAAGTCTTTTCAGTTCAATACTTGGATTTACAATCGTTTTCTAATTCATAAAAATACACTATACACTGGAATCAAAGAAAAAAAGAAAATAAGCAGTCTAAAAGATTGCAGTTAATAATTTTTTTTAAAAAAGGATTTGCGTAATGACTCATTTAAGTTTCTGTTTTGTTCATATTTATCAAAAATCTGATTTTATTTCGTTTTTTATTTTATTTAATTTTTGCTTGTTTTGTGGTGTTTTCATCAAGCAGCAATGACATTTAATTATTTCTTTATTTGCAATAAAATTACAAGCTATTATTTGGGTACTTGATCATCCACACAGACTGTTGCTGAGTTCTCCATCATTTTAAAAGTGTGGCAATGAGCTACTGTACTAATTAGAAAACACATGCATTGGATTTGAGAAATGGAAAACGAGTGTACAAAAATTATACACATTTCTCCAGCTCAGTATAAGAAGTGTTTCTCTCACCGTTTTGTCGCTGTGTTGCTGCTGCTGGAGCTGCTTCATCAGGATGGACTTCTTCTTGTCTTTGCAGCGCTTGTTCTGGAACCAGACGCGGATCACTCTGGGGCTCAGGCCGGTCATCTCCACCAGCTGCTCCTTCATCAGGGCGTCCGGCCTCGGGTTGGCGTTGTAGCAGGTCCGCAGGGTGTGGAGCTGCTTCTCGTTCAGCACCGTCCGGACTCGGGTGGTCTTCTCGGACTGCTTGTGGACGTGGTTGCGGTGATGAGGAGGGTGCCGGACCGAAACTGGATCTAAGGAGTGAGAGAATTTAAAAAAATAAATTAGTGTTTTACGTCTAGAAATAGAAAAGAAGAAATTAAAGCAACAACTAGCCATTGGAATATATAATTATCACCATCACTTACTTATAGAAATATGAAATAGGCTTGTTATTACGCAGTTATTATGCAGTTTTAGTGCCAAAGACGCAGGAGGTTTAAATCTTTAGGCCTGATATGGAATAAAATAGTGAATAATATCAACATGTCTAACTCAATGCATGCACCAAAAATCTTTTTTTTAGTGTATATGTAGCTACACGTTAAAAAATTCCTATTATTTGGTGGACTCAAATTTTTATCTACAAACAATTTTACAAGAAAGACAAACATCCCTCCATCATCATAATAATCACCATAATAATGATCATAATAATATCTACTTATTTTTTCTTATATGTGCACTAGTGATCCAGCTCGTACCTGAGATGTGCAGCGGTCTGGTGTGGATGCTGCCCGGGCTGAGCGGGCTCCCGGCTGAGGCCCTCTCCACCAGCAAGCCGTGGTCCGCCCGGCACAGCAGCTCGTCGTCCTGCAGGGAGAACTCGTCCCCCGGCAGGAGGTGCCGGCTGCACACCGAGCAGCGAAAACACTCCATGTGATAGACGTTGTCCCGGGCTCTCATCACCAGGTCGCTGCTGCAGAAGCCCATGTTACACTTTGCGCATTTGATGCCAAATAACCTGAAAAAAGGGGAGCACGGAGATGCAGCTACTGGTGCCATGCATTATCTCTATAATTTCAACCAAGCTGATCTCAGTTCATGGTCCGATCATAACAAGCACAAAAACTATTATAATGATCCCAGCAAAAGAATTAAAAAAAATTGAAAGTGTGCAAAACAAATCTGATTGAAATCTGCGCTTCATGATGCGTAATTTTTCCCACTTTCCTTACGGTGCGCGTTTTGCATTGCTATGGATCTTAATATAATTTTTTCTCAACGTATTTGGCCTCCCACATTTATATTCTTCTCATCACTATATAGCAGATCTACTTAAAAATACATTAGGAAAGTCAGAAACTCTGCGCACTCCTACCTTGCGTAATCTCTTTTACAGTAAGTCTTTCCGTCCCGGACGAAGCAAGTGCAGGTCTCGTCCAGATACTGGCTGCACTCTGCACACTTGAGGCAGGCTGCATGCCACTCCAGGTCCGGGGAGACTCTCAGGATGTACTGGTCGTGTATCTGACTTCCACAGCCCACACACATTGCGATTGCCGACTTCTCTGTGAAGTGGGAACGCGTTAATGCAACGCTTTGTGCGCTCTTTTTAATCCTCATGACATCCCTGTTAAAGCGCTTTAATTTTATGGAGAGAAACTATTACGCACAACAAACATGTAGGTCCTTCCAAATAATATTATGGAAGAATTATAATGAGGCCACAAGAGCTAAAAACAAATATTACTTTAGAGGCATGAGTACTTCAAATAGTTACATTTAAGTTATGTTCAGGATATTACATTTTTATTATGCGTCTCTTAGTTGCGGTTTTCGGTCATTTTTACGCAAAGCTGGACATTTATCCAGCGATTCATTATAAAAATTCAAGAGACTGAGCACCGGTAAAAGTCATATAAAAAAAAGCCTCGGGAAATAAGAGTAAGTGGAAAAAAAAAAAAAAGTGTCTTACTTTTGGAATGATCCCCCATATCATCCAAGAAAGAAGTGTTGAGCAGGATATCCACCATACAGGAGAAATAGTCGAGTGCAAGCCGACAGATGGGGAAGAGGAGCGGCAGAGGAGAGCGTCCCGTCCCTGCTGGATGATAAACTTGTATTCCTGCTCGGAGAGGTGGGGAGAAAACAAAGATCATCGACCAGTGACGTCTGCAGACCTGGACCTCTGTGGGTCCGGGGAGAGAGTGTGCCATGCAAATCTCCTCCTTCATGGACCCTCTGCTCTTTTTGTTTTTTTCTTTATTGTTCAGTGGCTTTTACTACATATGTGTTTATCTCTTTGTCCAAGAGCTCTATGTGGCAAATGACTATATGTGAGTTTTTCTATTTAAAGTTGCTGAACAACTAGAGAAAGTTAGAAAGTGTGATTTTACATCCAACTGCTGTTTCACATTCCTTATAAAATGTACACATGGAGACACATATGTTTTATGAGAAGCCAATCATATTTCTATCATATTGTCGCTCTCTGTCTTTTTTTTTTATTTAGCTGTGAGATTTTTTTTGTTCTAAGGCCAGCATGAGGGAGTTTTATAAGTCCAGTGTTCAAATGTTTTTTGTTTTAATGTACTTTTCTAAATTCTTATCATTATTCATATTTTTAAAGGATTGATGTTTGGTTAAAATCTGGGTGTATATTGTTAAAAAATATATATACTTTTTTTTTTTTTTGGTTTGTTTTCTGTAAGTGACAAGCACCACTCAGGCCACTGTAGAGAGCCCTCTACTGGATGAAATATCATATAAAGGTCTTGAATTCCAACAAGCTGCACAGTTTCCACATAGATCTTTATACTTCTGTGTATTGCTCTTTAAGGTTTGCCTTTGTGAAAAGACAGACATATCATACCACTTATTAAACATGATAAAAAAAATAACTGATAATATCCGGTAAACTTGAGATTTAAGAAATCAGTCATTCCCTAAATCACTGAGAATAAGTACACAGTATGGGATGATATTTCATTTTAATTCCCACATTTCTCTCTTTCTTTCCTGTCTCTTCTCTCTCCTCATACATGGAAGAAAATATATTAAAAAGTGCCTTGTGCCTGTCATTGCCATGTAATCCCAGGTGGAAATACACTCCAACACAATTTTAACCTACTTCTATTTTACCTGAGTGTTTCCATTGCATGCTATTTGATCTTTAAACATCTTTAAATCTAAATATAAGACCTTCTACTGTACTACATTTATTTAGTTACAGGATGTTTTTTGTCTTAAAAGCAAGATTTTACACAAAGGATAACATAACACGCATTTAAAATACAACACATACAACACAACGTTTCCAATGTTGTGATTTCTGATGTTTCACTAAAGTCTGTGTCACATCAAAACCTGGCTCACATGTGAGATTCTGACTTGTCAACAGCTGCACCAGATACTGATTTATACTTCTAAACCTCTCATGTGGTTTTATTTCAATAAATGTTCAAAAGTGCCAATCTCATCTAAAATCAAAGCATAAAGCAAAAGTCCAGAAAAGTAAAAACAGATCTGTGTACCGCAGCTCAGCTTTTCTTCTTTTCTCTGCATTGATCGTCACAGGGAGCTCTGATTTATCTGCTTTCCCTGTATATAAAACTGTATAGAAAGTAGTGCAAACCTGCAGCAGCTACAGCAACAATTTATCAGTCAGAGGGACTGAACTGGTACTTTTACTTCAGTACTTTACCTACATGTTGCTGCTAATACTTATGTCCTCTTTCGAAAGTGGGGTTTTTTCATGATGATTTTAAATTGCTGTATTATTACTTATACTTAAGGATCTCAATGCTTCTTCTATCACTGTCAAATGTACTAATCTATCCACCTCTCATGCAGGTTGTAGTAAAAATCTAATGTATAAATGAAACTGTGACTTCTCTAATTATCTATTTTTTTTTCTTTTTAAGGATTTGTCCTCTTTCTAATGTCTTATTGCTATTGTACAGCCTTGAGAAACAGCCACCTTGAATTTCACTGCACATAAGTGACAAATAAAAACTCTTGAATCTTGAATGTGTGCTGACATTTGATCATATGTATGAAATGTATCATATATTTTCTTGTTGTGTTTTCCTTTTGTGGCCTACTTGTTGCCAGGTCAATTGTTCTGACAGAAAAGCAGTGGTAACAGCAGCATATAATTAAGAAAATACTGCGGGCAGAGAGATGATGATCTTTCCAGAGCAAAATAAAGCCTGTCCCCGCGTTATTTAGTGTCGGAGGGGGGAAACTGAACAAAATGTCCCAAATAAGTAACATGTTATGATGAGAAAACCAGCGATCAAACTGCTGTTTATTTTTGCAGTTTGATATTTTTTTGGGAAGATAATTGAATGTCAGAGTGAGCGCGCGCGCGCGAGTGAGAGCGCGCGAGATAGATGACAGTTCTGGAACCGTGTATCTCGCGAGAAGTCCTCCCAAACCTCGTCCGACCTTTGGCACAGTTCTGTCTGCAGCAGAGGGAGCACAGAGCAGCCACAACGGTCCAAGATGAACAGAGCTTTTAACAAGACGAGTCTGAAACAATTGGTAAGAGTGTGACTGCTCCAGCCTACACTCAGACATGGTTTACAGCAGATTCAAAACACGGACGCTTCAGTTACCTCGTTTGTTTTGTTTTGTTGCAGCAGCTGCTAGCTGGCTAGCTCGCTCAGCTAGACTTTAGCTTAACTTTAGCTAGCTATGCTAGTGTCACAAGCTGCGGTGCTGTTTTTAATTAGCGCATGTGACACTGTTTATTGACTTGTTGTGACACTACCTGTATATATACACTACAATGTGAAATGGCTTGAATATGAGTGTTTGTTTGGCTGAATGCTAATAAGTGTTAGCATAGCTAGCCCAGTGGTTATGAAAGGTCTCTCTGTTACGAGTTACGAAACTGTTAAGTTGACATTGACAGGAGTTACCAAAACAAACTAATTGCAGTGAGATGTTCAGCAGTATAGACTTGATTAAAGAGTAGCACGTCCTATTTTATGTATTCTCTATTTTCTTGACTTTATCTGAATGACCTTTAAGTACTGATAGTGTCCAGATGAGGCTGGTATTAACCTGTTTCACGTTGACAGAACCAGATGCAGCTGTTTCAGAGGTTGCGCTGCACACTGTTTGCCAACTGTCCTCCCGTGACGTGTACACTAACCTCACACTAAACTGCCCTCAAAGTTGCATTAATAATCTGAGACTACGTGTTCCACATGCAACAAAACCCATCTGTACCACCTGACATATGTACCAGCATAGTTTAAATAGTGCACATGTGAGAGAAATGCAGCAAATTATTCTCTCAGATGGCGGCACGTTTTAATGCCCAGCTAAAAGATACTCATATTAGACCACATGGTGAAATTAAAGATTACATAGACTTGACGTTTCTGCTGGCATTTACTGGATATTCAGAAACCTTTTTTTATTTAAAAACCATTGTGGAATTATAATGATTGATGCGGTTGTGTTTTAAATTTACACAACAATAGCTAATCAAGGTTTTTAAAATGATAGTAAACATGATTGTTCAGAAGATTCAGGTGTTCATATCTAGTCCTTTTCTGTATAAATAAAAAAAGCTGAAAGTGTTTCATAACTTAGGTCAAACACGACAATCCCATTTAACAGGTCATACCTTCTAAATACCTTGGTTTATATTGATATATGATTCATATTGACGTGACGATGTTTTCTTCAACAGACTGGGATCCTCCAGAGGTTTCAAAGCACCTTGGTTGTTGCAGAGCACAACAATGACAAGCTGACCCCCATCACACTCAATGCCATCACCGCTGCCTCTAAACTAGGCGGAGAGGTGTCTTGTCTGGTTGCTGGAACAAACTGTGCAAAGGTATGCAAAGCTTTTGAGGTGTTGTATTTGTGATGTAGTTGTTATTTTAGCTATATCATAGTGCATTACCACACAGTTCAGTATGTGGGTCACGATTCATGTAGGTGGAGATAAGACGGCATTTGAAGGTCACTGGGAAACTTGGATATAGCTGATGATTTTTCTGTTTTTACAGGTTGTGGAGGAAATCAGCAAAGTACAAGGTGTGAAAAAGGTTCTGGTGGCCCAGCATGATACATACAAAGGCGCCCTGCCAGGTACGTTGCACTTGAGGCCTGTTATTTATTTAACCTTCACTCATAGAGCAAAGAGATACTGAACATGTCTTCTCTTTTTTTGTCAGCTTTTTTTCTTTTTATTTGCACAGTCTCTCATATATTCACAGCTGATTTGATGCTGTGTTTGACTTGCTCAAGGACATTTTGCTAGTAGTAACTAAAGGAGGAGACGTTCACTTGATTTCCCTGCTCATGTATTTTAGTTTCTAGAAATGGCTTTGCTGTAGCTGTTTGTTGGCCTACAGGTAACCTAAATTAGTTTCTACTTTCTGATTTTTTTTTTTTTTTTTTTTCCAGAGGAGTTGACACCTCTTATCCTGCAAACACAAAAGCAGTTCAACTTCACTCACATCTGTGCTGGTGCATCCGCCTTCGGAAAGGTAAGTCATGGAAAAAATACCTACTTAATTAGCATTTATGTATTTTAAAATACATTCATATTCCATCACACATAACGTAAAGTTGTATTACTCATAGTTTAATTTAAATCAGAAACGACTTCTTCATATATTTGTGTGGATAATGTTGTTTTGTTTTTTATTAAAAATGATGGTTTTACCAAAACTTTTTGTACCGAATATTTCTGTCAGCTCTCCTTATCTGTGCGTCTCTGAAGCATAATTCCACTCTCTCTCTTTTTTTGTAGAACCTGCTTCCCAGGGTGGCTGCCAAGTTGGATGTTGCCCCAGTTTCAGATATTATTGAGATCAAATCTCCAGATACTTTCGTCAGGACCATCTATGCTGGTAAACCTTTTTTTTTTTCAGTGCAATATGATATAGAGTTTGAATTTTATTTGTCTAATTTCCTGACTAGTATAATCATTCTTCAATAGAAATACCATAGAATCTCTTGAAGTCTTTGGTGAAATAGACAGTTTTGCTTTCTAATTTAATCATTTTTTCGTGGCAGGTATATTGATCATTTATTTTTAAATACTTTTGATGTTAACAATGCTTTGAATTATCTAGGAAATGCCCTCAGCACAGTGAAATGTAATGAGCCAATCAAGATCTTCACCGTCAGAGGGACGTCTTTTGAGGCAGCTTCAACAGAGGGAGGAAGTGCTGCATCAGAGGAAGGTGAAGTAGCTTACAGATTTGTCCTGCCGAACATTCTAAGAAACTGCTTTAAATTCTGGATGTTTTTAATCAAACAGCATACAACACAATGCAGATAGAGTACATCTCTACAAAGCCTATTTGTCAGTGCGAGTTTTTATCCTTACTTGTCATGTGGTGGTTCTCTGATCTGCAGTGGCTGCTGCTTCTCCCACCGGAATTTCTGAGTGGTTGGAACAGAGTCTGACAAAGAGCGACCGTCCAGAGCTGACAAGTGCAAAGGTTGTGGTGTCAGGAGGTATGCAATAACAGTCCTTCTTGCTCAGATGTCTAAAGCAGTGTCACAATGGATGAATTTCAAACCCACACTGTGGCTTGTTGGAAGATGAATTTTGAGAATTTCTATGTTAGCAAATCCACTCTGTGGTTTTAATTTTTAGTTATTTATTTTTTGTCAAAGCGTTGCCCAACTACACTCGTTGTCGATTAGCCTTAATATTATGTTGTTGGCATTTTGGTCAAAGGGAACTTTAGATTGTTGGTTTCTCTGTCCTTTGTTTAAAATTCATAAGGTCTTCACCGAACTATGTGAAGTGCTATGAGATGACATATGCTGTGAATTGGTGCTATATTGAATTGAATTGAATTGAACTGAATTGGAATTTTCCTTGCTCAAATAGACTAATAGTGTCTTTTTTTTTTCCAGGAAGGGGTTTGAAGAGTGGAGACAACTTCCAGCTGCTCTATGACCTTGCTGACAAACTGAATGCTGCAGGTATTATGGGAACACGTGTGTCATTTTATTGGCTGTTTTTTTTTTTTTTTTTTAACCTGATCTTAAGTTACATTTTATTCTTTTTTCCAGTTGGTGCATCCAGAGCTGCAGTGGATGCTGGGTATGTCCCTAATGACATGCAGGTTGGACAAACTGGCAAGATTGTAGCACCAGTAAGTTGTTCCTTTTCCAAAGTGGTTATTTGGGTTCATATAATCCTTTACAGCTAATGAAGAAAAACACTTCAATGGCAAAATGTAAATAACTGTATTCAAAAGTCAAAGTTTAAAGGTGGGCAGCACTTAAAGTCGGTGTCAGTGTGTACATTTGCTTTTGATGAATGCCTGCTTGCCTTCACACAGCGGTTCAGTAAGATCACGGTGGCTGCTCTTCCCTTTTAAACAGGTTAACCTCCCATTATGCGATTCAGTCCGGTTACCCCAGCTGTGATTATCCACACATTAGGCCTTGGAAAATGTGCATGATGGCACATTTAAGGCCCTAAATGATTTAGCTGATCCATTAAAGCAGAATGCGGCGCATGTCTGGTCAGAGCCTCAGACCAGGCCAGACTGTCCAAATTGGATTTCCCAAATGTTATGACAAGCTTGTGGAATTTGGCTTGGTTAATTAAATATAATTTAAATCTGGGTTGTTTTTTTAAGCCCATGACTCTAAAAATGTTTAGTGTATTCAGAAAATTGAAAGATTCACATTTTATTCACATGCAGCATGTAAGATAATCTCTTTATGGTAATTTAGTGTAAACGTCAGAGTTAAACGTCTTTGAACAGCGGTTAGTCTCTGAGTTTTCACTGTAATCAAAGCTGTCAGATGTTGCACCACGGCAGACTTGTAGGTTTTCTGTGTTTAGAAAAGCTACTTGGCAGGACTGAAGTGAAATTTATGACATGTGTGTCAGTCCACGGATTTATTTGTGAATCTAAATGATGAGAACGTTCGTGCTGTATTTAAAGATAACACCTGATGACCCACAGAGCTGTAATTACTGTTGGAATTGATTAGTGGTGAAATGGACAACATTTTTCCAATTGGAATGACCAGAAGCATAGCACTGTGTCATTGGGTTTCTGCAGTTTGTGTAATCAGTGACTGGCTGGTCGAATAGTGGTCTTACTGAATTTTCCACAGATATGAGATACTGTTGTGTTTACACGTTGATGCTTCGTCCATCTGAGACTTCAGCTGCAACATTAACTATACACTGAAATATTCATACGGCAGTGCATTAAACTGAGAGCGAGAGATGGTTTTCCCAGCAGGTTTGGGGGGGATGCAAGCATGGCTGACCCTTTGTACACTCACCCCAGCACCCTGTGATAGATTAGACACCCGTGGTCATTATAGCCTCAGACACTGATGTCTACAAGCATGTAACACTTGTCTTGTTTCCTCTTTTCGTGTTTGTAGGAATTGTACATTGCTGTTGGCATCTCTGGGGCTATCCAACACCTGGCTGGAATGAAAGATAGCAAGGTAAAGACTCTGAAGCTACATTAGCCGATATCCCCCCTCTCTTGACATTTTTTATTTTTCTGTTACCATTTTCCTCTGTATGAAACGGAAACAAAATGTTCTGTTTGTAATGTTAGCGTCACCAAAAATATGAGGATATTAGGTGGCATTAACCCTCTGAGTTTGGTCACACACATAAATCTTGTTCCACTGATATAAAGAAATTAGTACCAGGCAGCATTTGAGTTCAACATTAAAACTGTTTCTAAGGCTATTTCTGCATAACTTTCCATAACATATCTAATGTCTGTGGCATTCAAGTCTATATTCCATCTTTGTTTGTGGAAATGGTAATGTTTTAGATGTTGTCTTATTATGTTGTGTATCTCTCTTTGTGTTCAGACTATCGTTGCTATCAACAAGGACCCCGAGGCTCCTATTTTCCAGGTGGCTGACTACGGCTTGGTAGCAGATCTTTTCAAGGTAAGCGTCTGGTATTAATATTGCTATAATAATGTCACTACTTCCCCACATTATTAAACAACCAAGCAGCGCCTGGACTCACTTTGGGTGTTTGTTTTGATAGCTGAGACAGTCCTGAGAGACAGTCAGTATATAACATTTGCTTCCTCACTGATAAATTTTGCACGATGCTTTATTCCACCGAATGGAAATGTGCAACTGTTGAATTATTAAGTTCTTGAAATAATCCGAGGAGTGTTCTGGCTGGAACTCGCTGCTAGGACAGAAACACATTAACATGTCTAAAGATATAAAAAAGTGATCGATAGTTACATAAAAGTTGGCTTCAGTTTTGTGTTCAGCCTCTGCTTGCCAGGCCACTTATACGCTTAGTTGCGTTCTCGTGTCGAGCCGGTACTTGGCGACAGTGAGCCAGGTGTGTTGGCATGAGTAACGCTGGAGTTCAGTGCTGCCTTTGAAAGGCTAGTAGGTTATATTTTCATTTGTGTCCTGTTGGTCATGTTTTATTTAGCCCCTCAGTAGTGCCTGTGCAGCCCAGGTGTCCTGGCAAACTCTGTAGAAGTGATTAGTAATAATGGCTAGTGGCAGTAGAGTTGTGACCTACTGGGTGAGATCATCTTACAAGTGATCACTCCTCAGATAACTGATTAAAATGGATGGGCTCTCTACTTTTTCCCCCAAATTGACAGCCGATACCCCCGTACCAACTGTGGCAGTGACCGATGATTCCGTTTTGAAGTTGCTTGACTCACAAGGAGACATTTGAATAATTTTGCACTCATATTTACAACAAAAAGCGGTTGAATCTGTCTTCGTTAAAGCTACACAACTGATATTATCAGCATGTTTATTTATGGGCTGGATGTGCTCCTTGCAGAATCTTGCTCCGCATTCATCAAAAACAGAAACACTGCTAAATGTTTATGTACCTGCAGCGTGCTGTGATCTTGATAAATCGCAATGTGCTAAGTTATACAGCGAGCATGCACAAGGGTTTCTGTAATAAAGTCATAAGTGTTGTGATATGCAATATGCTTGGGGTGGAAATGACAGGTGTTATGAATATTTATCTACAAATAAACCCTGGAAATGTGTCAGCAGTTACTAATGCAGAATATATATATATTATGACTTGAATTTATGCCAGAATGATTTCTGCAGGATGTTTAGGTTCACAAAACAAGTAATTAATTTAAAAGTGTTCTGTGCCAATGCAGCAAACATGTGCTTTGAGCTTTCAGGATTGCAGTAAACAGAATTATTTGCTGAAATGGCTCCTGCCATAATGCCAGTGTGTAATGCTGGTAAGCTATTACATTATGTTTCTCCGCTGTTTTCTCTTCAGGCTGTTCCTGAGATGACTGAAACGCTGAGCAAGTGAAAAGAAACAAAGTCCCACCAAATGTTCATCGTACGGCTCGACAATGCAGAAGAATAGATCAGAGCGCGACCACAGGAAGCGCAGTCACCGCCTTAACAAATTTCTCAAGTTGTGAGTGTTTGAGCGCAGAAGTAATTTCATCACTGATATCTTCTCTCTGCCTGGCATCAGAGGAACATTCTCAACCAAGAAATGAAAGCCAGTTTTTATATATATTGTAGTATATAAGTATTGAATATCAATGGATAAGGTGCACTTACCTTTGGTAGGGGGATATTGTTTGCTTTCTGTAGTACAAGTGTTGTAATTTGTATTTAATTCTCTGGTGCAGTAAAAGACATCTTTGGAAATGCTTAACTCTGATGTAGCTGATTGTAAGAAGCAGCTCTTCCTGCTAACCCAGAAGATATGTACTTGTTGAGATGCTTCTGGAAAACAATGCATTAAATTGACAACTAAGAACTGGTGTCCTTAATTTGCCATGTTTTCCCTTTATTGGGTTCATTTTGCAGTGCTGCCTTTCTATAATCGAGATAGAAAGTGCCTGTTGACAGAACAATAAACAGGGTTAGTTTGCAATATGGTGGCAAATCTGAAAGGTTCATGCTGTCATTTTCTTCTCATCATTTTATTTAAGTCCATCACTAATTTTGGCTGTGACCAAACCCATCCGGAAATATTTACACAACTTCTAAACATTAAAATCAGTTTTTAAAAAGGTTATTTTAGACCTGAATGATATGAAATTACCATGTGCAGGTAGATTTTCAGTTAATTCGGTGCGTGAGGGTCATGCTGTAATTTGCAAAATTTTCGGTTAACACTGACTCAGCTGGGTTTGGTCAGCTTCCAGTCATGGCACCTGGATTAAAAACTCACATAAATCATCTGTCAGTCAAAAGGATTCTGCACTCTTTCCACTCACAGAATTTAGATAAAAATGTTAACATTAATATAGAAAGACAAAGATTAGAAAGAAGTTGAGACAGATCCAATGTACCCTGCAGCAGTCCATCAAAGAGGACTGTTTTTTTTTTTTTTTTTTGTGAGTTTGGAGACACTAAACTGACCAAAACAGCTCATACACTCGCACATTTGGTAAATCCGAGCCTTGTTTCTAAAGAAAATTGATTCACAGTCTGGTTCTCCAATAAACCTTTCGAGCATCTCCGCATCCTACAAAGTGTGTCAGAGGAGTTAAATCCTCAGCACCAAACTCTCTCAGGGTTCACTTCCTAGATAGAAATCAAACTACAACATATCAAAAGCCAATTTTTTTTCTACACAGGGCTGTTTGAAAGTTTTGGGCTTGAGCCCCATTGCTGGTTTCTTTTGGTAAAAGTAAATAAAAGTGTTTTTTTGAGTGTCAATTCCTGAAAAGTGTTGCCTGATAACGAGTCTGTCGTCCATGCCCTCTGTTTGTGCTGCTCCGGCAAGTTCACCCTCTCAGTTCGAGCTTTACAAAGAGGATGACAGACATACAGTTTATGTGCCAGTGACTCCCAACGACTTGGGAGTTTAGTAGAGCATTAATTTTTGCGGCTGATCTGAAGAGCAAGTCTGGTGAAGGTCCACATGTTTTGCAGAGTCTTATGTCTCTGACAGACGGTTGACTGGAGTTTCTACCGGCCCCATCATCCTGTACTTCTCCTCTAGGAGAGGCTCGTTACCCTGCAGATGGATGACTGTCTTGGAGTGGAGGCCGACTCGGCTCTCCTGGTTCCTCTTGTTGTAGATATTGACCCTGTGCTCCAGCTCGGGGCTGGTTTTTGTGGAACCTGTCGGACTGGGTGGTTTAAGGTTGACAGGGTCCAGGCCCTTCTGGGTGAGACAGGAGTCCTCAGACAGCGAGGAGAGCAGCTCCTGCACCACAGCGCTGGGACTCCCTCGCGGCTGAGTTCCCAGGGCTAGAGGGCTGCTGTAGGGTGGAGGGTAGCAGCGTTGGTCGCTGTAGTCTGTGGAGGTGGAGGCCTCGCGCACCGTGGAGCTGCAGTCCATGCTGGAGCCCAGCGTGTGGCTGCTGATGCTGTGCTGGCGGGCGCTGAAGCTGGTGCGGGACACTGTGGTCGTGGAGGCCTCGCTGACCGAGCTGCCGGTGCGCTGCAAACGGCTGGAGGGCACTGCATCGGCGCTCACCAGAGAGGAGGGAAGCTGGCTGGGGTTGTTAGGCAGATGCACGTCTATGGCTGCTGTGGTGATGACTCGTGCTGGGTCTGGGATCCCTGTATCTATGACAACAACACAAAGTACAGGGCCTTTGAGATATTGTGGTGCTACATGGGCTGCAGGTTAGATTGAAGCAGGAGCTTGCTGATGCTCACCACTGCTTGGCTCACTGTAGTACTGGCTGATATAGTTGTTCATGTCATCTTGACCATGATGATCTGAAAGGAAAAGAATACAAGAAGAAATAAAAGAGAAGTCACTGTATAAGGAAATCCTGTGTAGTGTACAAAAACATGACACACTCTACTTTTACCATACAATGTGTGAAATGTTTAAAATCCATATAAGATAAAAGTCACACTTGTAGGTGAAATGTAGCCACAATGGGACTCTGTTGAAATATTGTAGGGGGCGCAGTTGAGCCGTGTTGCGTTTTAGAGCTTGGAGCGGAGAGATATTTTTATTTGTGC